ATATATATATATATATATATATGACAAGAGCAATTAGCTCTTGATATGACCAAACACGATCATGGCAGGGACATCCCCGCAGCTGGCAAAACCCGACATTGCACAATCCAATACCAAGCGTCCATCAGCGCATCGCCGTAGTTAATGACCGACTGGCAATACGGCACACGATACATCATGATGTGTCACACGTAGTGGCTACAAAAGACCTAGTAGTAGTGGTGGTAGTAGTATGTAGTATGTAGTATGTTGTAGTAGTAGTAGTAGGAAAGGTTACCTAAAACACATCTATACAGTAGTGAGATGAATCTATTTAGTGATGGTCTTTAACTACGTTAATTAAACAGGTAATTGATCGGAAACGACGACTGCCGACACTCTACAGTGACGATGTGATTCGACCTATAGTTTATGCTCCATACACATCCGCAGGATAACCCCCACGTCACCCGCACCTGCAATTAAACATACACACATAGAGGTCACCTTGACAACCTTGGGTCCCGTGGGTCGAAAACAAAATTTGTCTTCACATTAACTTTTTCTCGTAGATCGCCGACAGAAACGTGGTGAAGTTAACGAGTTTCTCACGCACAGTGTACATGTACAGGTCCGTGCAGAGGACTGAGGTGTATAGAAGCTCATGTTGAAACTAATGCCAAGATTAATTTTGTTTCCGACACACGGGCCCCTTGAATACATAAGGTTCATGAATACGCTTGCTATATTCTCGAGGTATTAGGATATCGTGTACAATATCGACAATGTGGAGCGGTGAACATTATATAAGAACTACGCGTGTGATGTTCTTAGTGCGATATTCTCAAAATTCTAGATCTACGGTTCTGGTCCCGGAATCGTTGAACAACGCGCGCCGGCGACAAACGCGACACGATCGCGGTTTCCACGGTAACGAACGACGCATCTTTGGTGATCGCCAGGCCGACAGTGACAACGTCGGTGACGTCATCGCTAGCTAACGATCTAGATTACGACTAGGATTAGATTAAAATACCGCATCGACACGAGCGCATCCGCAACACACATATAATACAACATGCTGCTACATTCAGAACCCAAAACCAGATACCCTCTCATCTTAATTCCCATGCCCACCCACACCCACTCCCTCATATATCCACCTTGCCCTCAACTCCGCCCACCTCCTGCCGCAACGCCAGACAAAATGCTAGTCGAAAGAGGAAAAAAGTAAGAGAGAAAGAGGAAAAGAGGAAAAGAAGAAAGAGGAAAAGAGGAAGGACGTAACAGAGATGGAAACCTGAGCGTTCCCCCCCACCCCGCATCCTTCATCCACCCGCTCCCTCTCCCCCCACACACGCTCCTCCCCCTGCCGTTCCACATTCCCGCGGTGCACGGCTGCTAACACGCAAGCATGTAATTAGCTGTCGTTAACGCAGCGTCGGTAATTAGAAGACCATTATGTTCCGGCAGATGCATTCGCTCGGTGGGCTTCCCTCGAGTCGCGATTGCATCCAAGCATCCAAAGACGACAGAAATAGCGTTACATTACGCGGGTTTCTATAAATAGCCACATTACGCGGGTTTCTATAAATAGCCACATTACGC